GAGAAAGCGTATTATGCGGGATAGCTACAATATATATCAAAGTGCAGAGACGTCGAGAAGTGGCACATCAAGCGAGAAATCGTATTAAGCATAATCGTCTTAACAGGGTTCCATAGTATATGTGTACCTAAATAATTAAAATATTTACAAAAAGGATAATATCTTTGTCAAGTTTGAGAAACTCTTGAATTTTTTCATTCAAATTTTATATGTATTATTTGAAGTTGCAAATGCGGGAAATCGTATTAAGCATGATCATCTTAACAGGGTTATTGGTCTGACTTATACATTTTCCTTAAAAAAACACTACTTACTGCCATCTAAACAAAAAATCTCGAATTATATTTTGGAACTGGTCGATAGAAAAGATAAAATGAATTTTCAGTGGAACACTATTAAGAAACGTTTAAACGTAAAAAAAGCGTTTTAAGCGGGATAAAGACAACAGGTTTCAAAGTGCGTGTAAGTAGAGTCATATACAAGATATAGAAACCACGAATAATATAGAAATAATTTCTGTTAAGTACACGGCACAAAAGTTTAATTTGTTTTATTATTTTCAAGGAACTGGGGAAAATATTCTTCTGATTCAGGCTATTTAACTCTAAAATGATCATTTATCTACGCCGATTTCCTTGTTGATATCGGTACCCATACAACGTTGATGCCGGTACGCATACAACGACAGATCTCTATTCACATACACGACGACTAATCACAATCGACCCGTATAGAAATGATATCATCGAGAGCGAATGACGTACAGTTCGGCTGTAACGTTATTTCCGTTGCATTTGTACGGATTTACACATAAGTCGCGCCTTGTGAAGTTTTATTTCAAAAATTATTTTAAATCCATACCTTTTGGTGAAATATAACATTCCTTGACATCCGATGTGAATATCTTATATCACAATTGCTGACCGAGGTGGGTATTTGTATTCAAACCTGGAATCAATGATTGATAATCAACATTAATAATACACCATGTATAAAAATTAAAATATGAATAAGAAATTATCAAACAAGATAGATATTAAGTAGTGTTTACTGTATATTTTATACTATTTATTTTATTTCATTACATGCAAGAAAATTTTATAATATTTAAATCTAAGTAAACAAATACGCTTATGTTTTATTGATCTTCAACACGCTTCTGACTATGAAGTACCATATGTCTCTTCAAATCGTCCGATTGAGTAAATTCCTTATTACATACTTCACATTTGTCAAGGATGCTCTCGTTTATGAATCTGCATATGCCTTTTCAGAGCACCTAATAGTGTAAATTTCTTATTGCATATCTTGCATTCATGAGGACGTACTCCACTGTGTGTCAGCATGTGACGTTTAAGAGTGCCTCTTTCTGTGAATGTCCTTTTGCATATATGGCATTCATGGGGACGCTCACCGCTGTGTATCACCATGTGATTTTTCAAATTAGTTGATTGCGTGAATGTCTTGTTGCATATATTGCATTCATGGGGACGCTCACCACTATGTATCAGCATGTGACTTTTCAGATTGCAAGATAGCGCAAATGTTTTTTTGCATATACTGCATTCATGAGGACGTACTCCACTGTGAATAAGCATGTGTGTTTTCAGTTGACTTGAGTTTGTAAATTTCTTATTGCATATATTGCATTCGTGGGGACGTACTCCACTATGCATCAGCATGTGACGTTTCAGAGTACTTGCATGTGTGAATGTTTTTTTGCATATATTGCATTCATGAGGACGTACTCCACTATGCATCAGCATGTGACGTTTCAAAGTACCTCTTTCTGTGAAAGTCTTTTTGCACGTACTGCATTCATGGGGACGCTCACCACTGTGAATGAGCATGTGCCTTTTCAGAACACTTAATCGATCAAAAGCCTTGTAACAGATTTCGCATTTGAAATGACTTTCTTTGCTATTATTAGGCATATGTTCGATCATATGCTCTTTTAAATGATGTGTTTCCGTAAATGATCTATTGCAAATGTCACATTCATAAGTTGATGGCTCGACTAACTCCTGTTTGACTTCTTCTTCAATTGTCACCTCGGAATTCATGAATCTTTCTAAACACGTGTCATCATCTTCAGAACACGATTCAGATTTAACAATAACACCAGGATCATCAAATTCATCTTCCATTTCGAGTTTAATGTCTTCTGGTGAATATTCAGGTGGTTCAATTTTAATTGTCTGATCATTCATAGACATAATTGTTTCCTCCGACATTTTTGAATATTTTCACTGCTTATACTTACAAAAAAATTACGAAACTAGTTGTGTGCTAAATAATAGTCTAGTTTATTTATATTTTCACAATGTGATAAATAATTTCAACTTTTACATTACATTTATTATTTGACATTTGAAGCATAGAGTTCATTTACAGCAGTAGAGAGAGTAGAAACATATTTGCTTTGTGTGCAGATATGAAAGGGCTATAGATGTCGTGTCTATATATTATTTATATTTATAATTAAAAGAACTGAATAACGTGTATATAAATTAATTAACAATAATTAGTATAAAGTATTTCACTGAATAAAATATATAAGATATATGAGGTTAGGTTTATGTCTTCACTCTTCCAAGGGTTGATGATGAGAGCTTATACTTGTTTATCTATGGATGAGAGGGTGAGATTGCATTTTTCGCATCCCTCGAGCCCACGCAAGTGTTGCACGATGCGCCGTCGCCAACTTGACAGTTTGCGACGTTCTTCATACGCAACGTGTCTATGAAGTTGGTATTGGCGTTTCTGGTTGTTACTCTCACCGCTAGGTGTCAGGAGACGCCATAGGGCAACTCAAATTGACTGAAGCGCTCGTAGTGGTCATTTTGAGCACTACGTGGTGCTATTATAACCATTGATAAACAAGTATAAAAAGATTATAATCAAAATAGTGAACACATAGATAAAAGAAGAGTAGGAGTGAACAAATACGCGTGAAATATTATTTCATTTCAAATATAGATACGGGGCAAAAAGTGCCAAAGACGGTAACTAAGTTTTTAAGAGATCGGAGCGTCCGATTTTAATAATTTAAAAAACATTTTACTTGTAATAAAAGATGAAGACTGATTAAATTTTTGGGAAGGCAGGTTCAGCGGTTATTGACTCTCAAAAAAATAAGTTAAAAAAATGTCATTTGGCTATCAAAATGTTTATTGGGCAAATGTACATCAAATTATCAGATATTTTTTAGAGATTTTAACAATATGTACACATTTTGTGTAAATTTTTTTGGGTTCCGTAGCAAGATTTTTAATTACGGTACGGAAAGTTTAGCAATTTGTCTTAAGGCACGATGCCATTCCTCCCACTATAGTTATATATTACTATCAGTTGTTGGAAAATTGCACGATTAGTTCCAACTTTGAAATAAGGTGATACATCAAACATTACTAATTACAGGCCGATTTCATTATTAGCAAACTTTGCAAGGTATTTGAAAAAAATATTTATAGAGAACTAATTCCTTCTGTTAGCACTTTAATTTCTACTAATCAACATGGATTCATGCCTGGCCGTTCTACGATAACAAATTTAATCTGTATTAAACAATATTTAGCTGAGAATTTTGACACTAATGGACAAGTTGATATTATTTACACTGACTTCAGTAAAGCTTTTGAAAAAATTGATCATAACATTATTCTTACTAAGTTATCTAAGATTGGTCTTAATTCCTCACTTATTAATTTTTTTAAGAGTTATCTTCATAATCTTAAACAGTTTGTCTATCTTAATAAATTCTTGAGCAACATTGAAAATATCAGTTCAGGTGTTCCTCAGGGATCCATTCTTGGTCCACTACTATTTATTACTTTTATTAATGACATATCTGATATTATTAGCTGTCCACATTTATTATTTGCAGATGATCTCAAACTATATCTCAAAATAAATTCTATTGATGACTGCTTATTATTATACAGTCTCAACTTGACTCTTTCACTCTTGGTGTGTCTATAACAAATTACATTTAAATATATCAAAGTGCAAGATTCTTAGTTTTTCACATAAGCGCGTTCCAATACATTTTCATTATAAAATTTCTAACACCAGCATTAATAGATGTAATAAAATTTCAGATTTAGGAGTTCTATTTGATTCTGGTTTGTTTTCCACGGATCATATAACTGATATTTGTAATAGAGCACATAAATCTCTAGGTTTGATACTGAGAAATTGTAAACAATTCAATTCTAACAACGCACTTCTTTGCATGTACTATTCTATTGTACGTTCAAAATTAGAATATGTTTCGATTATTTGGTATCCTCATCAAATCAACACCTCTGATGCAATAGAGAAGGTTCAGCGAAAATTTCTTAAATATCTTTATTATAAAACATATAAAATTTACCCTGAACGTGGCTTTGACCACAATACTTTACTAAAAGAATTTGGTATTCCTTCCCTTGCCTCACGTCGATTTATCTGTACAATTATGTTCATATTTAAACTTTGCAATAATTCTATAGACTGCCCTCTTATTCTTAATCAACTATCCTTTAATGTTCCAAGGCTATCTACGCGTTCACAATTATTTTTCAATTATCCTACCCCTAAATCTAATTCTTAAATTCGCCTATTTTACTTATGTCCTCTAACTTTAACTTAATTAATAATGAAATAGATATTCACAAAACTTCACCTAATCAAATAATCTCCATCTGCACAAGTTAACCTTTTCATTTTCTTTTCAAATATCTCATTATTTTATCTTATTCTTTTTATAAATAATATTGTTACATTCTACATTATATGAAATTTTATGTTAATAACTAAATATTGTAATTTTGTATATATTTTAATTGTTATTCATTATGTAAAATAATTGTATTTTTGAGTCCTCTTGGAAGAAATATATTTAAAATAAATAAAATAAATAAATATTTCATACTATTTATTTCATTTCATTACATGCAAGAAAATTTTACAATATTTAAACTTAAGTGAACAAATATATTATAATAATAACTTATATTTCATTGATCTTCACCATGCTTCTGACTGTGGAGTACCATATGTCTCTTCAAATCGTCCGATTGAGTAAATTCCTTATTACATACTTCACATTTATCAGGATGCTCTCGTTTATGAATCTGCATATGCCTTTTCAGAGCACCCTTTAGTGTAAATTTCTTATTGCATATATTGCATTCATGAGTGCGTACTCCACTGTGTATCAGCATGTGCCGTTTCAGATTACCTCTTTCTGTGAATGTCTTTTTGCATACATGGCATTCATGGGGACGCTCACTGCTGTGTATCAGCATGTGATTTTTCAGATTACTTGATTGCGTGAATGTCTTGTTGCATATATTGCATTCATAAGGGCGCTCACCACTGTGAATGCGCATGTGGCATTTTAGATCACGTAAAAGTGTGAATGTATTATTGCATATATTGCATTCATAAGGACGTACTCCACTATGCATCAGCATGTGATGCTTCAGATTATTTGATTTTGTGAATGACTTTTTGCATGTATTGCATTCATAAGGACGTGTTCCACTGTGTAACAACATGTGACTCTTCAGACTGCCTGATTGCGTAAATGTTTTTTTGCATATGTTGCATTCATGGGGACGTACTCCTGTGTGTGTCAGCATGTGACTTTTCAGATTACTTGATTGTGTGAATGTCTTGTTACATATATTGCATTCATGAGGGCGTACACCTTTGTGCATCCGAATGTGACTTTTCAGACTACTTGACTGCTTGAATGTCTTATTGCATATATCGCATTCATGAGGGCGCTCGCCACTATGTAAGCGCATGTGGGATTTCAGATTACATAAAAGTGTGAATGTCTTGTTGCATATATTGCATTCATGGGCGCGCTCACCACTGTGAATGAGCATGTGCCTTTTCAGAACACTTAATCGATCAAAAGCCTTGTAACAGATTTCGCATTTGAAAGGACTTTCTTTGCTATGAATAGTAATATGATCGGCCATATGCTCTTTTAAATGATCTGATTCTGCAAATGTTCTATTACAAACCTCACATTCATAAGTTGATGACTCAACTAACTCATGTTTGACTTCTTCAATTTTCACCTCGGAATTCATGAATCTTTCTAGACACGTATCATCATTTTCGAAACACGATTCAGCTTTAACAATAACATCAAGATCATCAAATTCATCCCCCATTTCGAGTTTAATGTCTTCTGGTGAATATTCTGGTGGTTCAATTTTAATTGTTTGATCATTCATAGACATAATTGTTTCCTCCGACATTTTTAAATACTTTCACAAAACAAATTAGAAAATAGTTATGTGCTAAATAATAGTCTAGACTTATTAATTTTTTTTTTTAATGTTATAAATAATTTCAACTTTTACATTTATTATTTGACATTTGAAGCATAGAGTTCATTTGTAGCAATAGAGAGAGTAGAAACATAGAAAAGCATAAAGTATTTGAAAAGACGCGCCACTTGTTTCCGCTCCCGATTTTATTTTTACATTACATTTATGTTTACTTGACATTACGAGTGCTAGTTCAGCGTTCGACGTAATGACCCGTAATGACGCTGTACATAATATAGATAAACTAGTGGTGCATGACATCGTGTGAATAACTAGTGGTGAATGGCATCGTGCCTTAAGGCTAATTGCTGGAACTTCCCGTACCGTAACGAAATGTTCGAGGAATATTGAATGTTTTCAAATAGATTATTATAAATAAATACTGTAACCATAGATAAGGAAACTGACTGTAACATTGTCTAACTCTAATATTTATAAGAATTATATAAACTGAACTGCAGAGTTAAAATTATTTATTTAAAGCATATAAGTGAACTTTTGAACTTTAGTCAGAATTAAAATTAAAATTAGAATTATTTTCGATATACAAAAAAAAATTGAAACAAAATTATTTTTCAAAAGCAATTCTTTTGTTAAAACAATCAGAAAGTTCTTTGAATCATTCAAATCGGACATACAAAACACACACACATATCTATTTTTTCTGAGGTATGCCAAAATATCCAGAAACCTTCAAATTTGTATATTTTTAAATATTTTGAAAAAAAAAATTCTGAAAATTTTGAAATTTGTGTGAACCGTCTAAGTGATTGGCAAATTAAAAATCTTGATACAGAGACCAAAAAAAAAACTGTAACAAATTTAGTCCTCATCTTTCTAGAAATATACTCTCTCTCTGTGCTTCAAATGTCAAATAATAAATGTAAAAATTGTAATTGTAATCATTAATCATGTATACTCTTCTTTTATCTATGGTTATAATTATTTATCACATTAAAAAAATTATTAATAAGCCTAGACTATAATTTAGCACACAACTATTTTTTAATTTTTTTGTGAAAATATTTAAAAATGTCGGAAGAAACAATTATGTCTATAAATGATTGGGCAGTTAAAATTGAACCACCAGAATATTCACCAGAAGACATTAAACTCGAAATAGAGGATGAATTTGATGATCCTGGTGTTATTGTTAAATCTGAATCGTGTTCTGAAGATGATGACACGTGTTTAGAAAGATTCATGAATTCCGAGGTGACAATTGAAGAAGTCAAACATGAGTTAGTTGAGTCATCAACTTATGAATGTGACATTTGCAATAGATCATTTACGGAAACACATCATTTAAAAGAGCATATGATCGAGCATATGCCTAATAATAGCAAAGAAAGTTCTTTCAAATGCGAAATCTGTTACAAGGTTTTTTATCGATTAAGTGATCTGAAAAGGCACATGCTCATTCACAGTGGTGAGCGTCCCCACGAATGCAATATATGCAAAAAAACATTCACACAATCAGGCACTCTGAAAAATCACATGCTGATACACAGTGGAGTACGTCCCCACGAATGCAATATATGCAATAAGACATTTGCAGAATTAAGTAATCTGAGACGTCACATGATCATTCACACTGGATTAAGACCTCATGAATGCAATATATGCAAAAGGACATTCAGACATTTATTTACTCTAAAATCCCACATGCGCATTCACAGAGGTGAGCGCCCTCATGAATGCAATATATGCAATAATACATTCACACATTTACATGATCTAAAATGCCACATGCTCATTCACAGTGGTAAGCGCCCTTATGAATGCAATATATGCAACAAGACTTTCACGCAATCAAGTAATCTGAAATGTCACCTGCTGATACACAGTGGTGAGCGTCCCCATGAATGCCATATATGCAAAAAGACATTCACAGAAAAAGGTAATCTTAAATGTCACATGCTGATACACAGTGGAGTACGTCCTCATGAATGCAATGTATGCAATAAGAAATTTACACGATCTAGTAATCTGAAAAAACACATGCTGATTCATAAACGAGAGCATCCTGATAAATAAAGTATGTAATAAAGAATTTACTCAATTGAAGGATTTGAAGAAACATATGGTACTTCATAGTCAGAAGCTTGATGAAGATCAATGAAATATAAGCATATTTGTTTACTTAAATTTAAATATTGTAAAATTTTCTTGCGGAATGTATAAACAGTATGAAATATACAGTAAACACTACATAATATCAATATTATTTTATAATTTTTTATTATTTTAAATTTTATGAATTAAGTATTATTAATGAGGATTAGTAACCATTGGTTTCAGGTTTGAATACAAATACCAATCTTGGTCAGCAGTAGTGATAATAAATATTCACAAGGAATATTATATTTTACCAAAAAGTATGGATTTAAAAAAAAAATAATAAATCATTCTTACAAATTAAAATAAAAAGAATCATTTTTACAAAAAATGATTTTTTATACGTAAAGGTCCAGCGATGCCATACACCACTAGTTTGCACTAATTTTTTAAAAATATTTTATTAGTAATTATTTTAGATAATCTAATTAGCTTTAATTTTGTATAAGATTATATTTGATTATCTATTACAGTTTAGAAGCTATTGATATAAATATAAAAAAATGTCCAGGCACGATCTAAGTGTTTTTAGCTTTATGCAAGTTTATAAATATTTTAAAAATATTTGCACTAGTTGTGCATAATTTTATTGTTCAACAATATTTTGAAAAAATTGTTTAGCTATAATTTTCTCTAAGACTGTGATTAACTTTGAAAAGCAGCTTAAAAGTTATTAATTTTGTCTTTAGATAGACATTGAGTAATTGGTTTTGAAATTCTAGTTTCTCATTTAGTGGCATTTTCTAGATGGAAAGCCCAATGGTTTATCTTGTATTTTTGTACTACATTCTAATCTAAATTTCATCTTATTTTACAAAAATAAATAAACTATAATATACACATAAAATTATAAACACAAAAGTTTATAGTTTATATAAAAAAAATGTCTTTGCACAAAGCAGTATATACTCATCAATGAGTCTTAAGAAGTCTTATATGTAGCTTTGGAACTATTTTAAATATACTAGTACTAAATTTACAATATACGATTTCTAATGAACTTAATAATTAATTAAGCTATATTTATTAAATTTAGATTGAACACGTAATTTAGAAGTTAGTAACACAAATACCAAATAATGCCTTTACAGTCCAGAAATATGCCACGGACAACTTAGCAAAAAATATATATAAATAAATGTAAATTTTACAATATTTTTGTCTAATTGTTTCAGAGAATTCATTTAGCAATAACTTTGTAAAAGACAGTATATTTAGTTATAATAAGTAATTTAAACTTATTAACAAAAATACAGAAAAATGTCTTTGTACCACAAAATGGCCGACACGTTTTCAACATTATGCAAGTTTAGAAATATTTTAAAAATATAAGCAGAATTTTACAATACTACTATTACGAGAAAATGTTTTAGAGAATTTAATCAGCAATAACTTTGTCAAAGACAGTATTTATATAAATCATAAGTATCATAAGTTTTTTAAAAGTTATATTAATCAAAGTGCAAAAAAAATTTTTTGTGGTTGTAACCACAAAATGGCTGACACGATTTCAACATTGTTTTAAAATATTTTTAAAATATCAGCAAGAATATTACTGAATTTTTGTTGGAAAAACTGTTTTTAAAAATTTATTCAGCTACAACTTTGTTAAAGACAAATAATTTAGCTGTTATTTCAAAAAATACAGAAAAACGTTTCTGTACCACAAAATGGCCGACACGTTTTTAACATTAAAATACATTAAAAAATAAGTAGAATGGGACAGCTCATTTGGTTTTAATTACTATATTTGTTACAACTGCTAAATAATTAATATCTAGTAACAACAATGAACAATTATATAAATTTAATAAAAAGAATATAATTTTCAATAAAATAATATCCGGATACTACGGCCGTAGTATGTTGATTTAACTATAAAACAAAAGCAAATAATAATAATTATTATATATAATTAATAAGTAAATATTATATAATATAATTAATAAGTAAAATTTCTGAATAATAAAAATAATACTAGAAAAACAATAAAGTAGAATAAAAACAATAAGTGAAAGATAATAATTAATATAACAAAATAACAATATTAGAATAATAATATAATATTAATAATAATATAATAATAATAATTCTGATTTTTGTTGAATTTCTTCATTTACAGTCATCATTTTTCTGTGATGAAAATATTGTTTTTTATGTAAAATTGAGTTTTTCGTATTTTATAAAAAACTCTTAGATCGATTCCAAATTTAGGATCTTAATTTAAAGAAACTATAATCAAAAAAATATTCTATAAATACAAATGACTATAAAGTTATACAAATGAGTGCTTTTAGAGTACAGGAATTGAAATAAATACGTTTTCCCAAAAAGAGTGTGATAAAGCTAAAAACAGTATTTTCATATTAACATTTCAAAAAAAATATTTAATTGAAATTAAAACCATTTGACGTTTGACGTATGAGCCGCCACCGATTGTTTCATTTTGAATTGCGTTTCCTACCAAAAATATTATATTAAAAATGTAAATTTTCTACGAGGTTTTAAAATAATATTTCAACTTCTTCCACAACCTCTGGATTAGCACGAATTTTCCAAGACTAAAACTGGCCAAAAGCGTACAGTCTTTTTAGAGTTTTAGCATACCTAACATAATAATAATTAGGCAACAAGTTGTTATTTATTTATAATATGTAAATCTATTGAATGTTGTTCATAAATACCTCATAAGTAAGTATGCCTTTTTTTACGTTAATAAATATAATATGTATTCACGGATTCTTTATTCGAGGCATTATCATGAAACTTATCTAGAAATACACAAATAAATTGTAAGAATGATTCGCTAAATTATTTTAAATCCATACTTTTTTCTTGCGAATAATAATATACTGCTGACCAAGATTGGTATTTGTATTTGAACCTGAAACTAATGGTTGCTAATCCTCATTAATAATAATTTATAAAAATTAAAATATGAATAAGAAATTATAAAACAAGATAGATATTATGTAGTGTTTACTGTGTATTTCATATAATTTATACATTACATTACATGCAATAAAGTTTTACAATTTAAGTAAACAAATATAATAACTTATATTTCATTGATCTTCACCACGCTTCTGACTATGAAGTGCCCTGTGTCTCTTCAAATCATTTGATTGAGTAAATTCCTTATTACATACTTCACATTTACAGGAATGCTCTTGTTTATGTATCAGCATGTGACTTTTCAGACTACCTGATTGCGTGAATGTCTTGTTGCATATATTGCATTCATGATGTACTCCACTGTGTATCAGCATGTGACTTTTCAAATGACTTAATTGTGTAAATTTCTTATTGCATATATTGCATTCATGGGGACGTACTCCACTGTGTATCAGCATGTGACGTTTCAGAAGATGTGATTGCTTGAATGTCTTATTGCAAATATCACATTCATGAGGACGTACTCCACTGTGTATCGGCATGTGACTTTTCAGATTACTTGATTGTGTGAATGTCTTGTTGCATATATTGCATTCATAAGGACGTACTCCACTGTGTATCAGCATGTGACGTTTCAGATCATTTGATTTTGTGAATGTCTTGTTGCATATATTGCATTCATGAGAGCGTACTCTTTGGTGCATCAGCATGTGACTTTTCAGAGAACTTGATTGCGTGAATGTCTTGTTGCATATATTGCATTCATGAGGACGTACTCCACTATGTATCAGCATGTGACTTTTCAGATTGCTCGATTGCGCAAATGTTTTTTTGCATATACTGCATTCATGAGAACGTACTCCACTGTGAATAAGCATGTGACTTTTCAGATTACAAGATAGCGCAAATGTTTTTTTTGCATATACTGCATTCATGAGGACGTACTCCACTGTGTATCAGCATGTGACTTTTCAGAGTGCCTGATTGTGTGAATGTTTTTTTGCATATATTGCATTCATGAGGACGCTCACCACTGTGAATGAGCATGTGCTGTTTCACATTACGTAATTGATTGAAAGTCTTGTAACAGATTTCGCATTTGAAAGGACTTTCTTTGCTATCATTAGGCATATGATCGATCATATGCTCTTTTAAATGATGTGTTTCCGTAAATAATCTATTGCAAATGTCACATTCATGAGTTAATGTTTCAACTAACTCCTGTTTGACTTCTTCTTCAATTTTCACCTCGGAATTCATGAATCTTTCTAAACACGTATCATCATCTTCAGAACACGATTCAGATTTAACAGCAACATCAGGATAATCAAATTCATCCTCCATTTCGAGTTTAATGTCTTCTGGTGAATATTCTGGTGGTTCAATTTTAATTGTCTGATCATTCATAGACATAATTGTTTTCTTCCGACATTTTTGAATATTTTCACTGCTTATACTCACAAAAAATTTACGAAAATAGTTTTGTGCTAAATAAAAAGTCTAGATTTATCAATAATTTTAGTCAATGTGATAAATAAATTCAACTTTTATATTATTTGGCATTTGAAGCATAGAGAGAGTAGAACTCAAGAGTATCAAGTCGCAGTCTTTTT